AATAAACAGTAATCAGAGATTATCTTCAATATAAACAACATTCTCCACGTTGCTAAATCGATCTTTTATAAACGCTAAATTTCTGTTGACATATATTTCAATTATTATTCTTCATAACTAAATTACATACAATATCTTAAAGCTTACAAATGTTGTTAATATATGCATACGTACATAATGATTCATTATTTTGTTGTCGGCGAATATAAATGGCAAAATTAATAAAGTGACTACAAGAATATCAATGAAATTTTTCAGAAACAAATTCTTGGAATTTTCAGTCGAAAATTTCCGAAAGAATTTTTATTTATTTTTTAGTTCTTTTTCCTCAAAGAATTTTTTTCTTGTTAATCTTGGGTATATGAACGGGGTATATTACGTTATCGGATTTCAAGCTCTCACACGAGCGACTCGGGCGAGTACCGCTCCACCACCTACCGTGGTTCGGTCTCGAAACCGGCGCGAAATAACTCCAGGGATCAACGTAATGCCCGACTCGGCCATAAATTAAAGTATCGCGTCATCCTATTGTGTTACTTAATCCGATCTCTTGCCCGGGTCCCGCTTACGACGACGACGCCGCTGCAGTACTTCACTCTTTGAGCCCGTTGTCCTCTTCCTTTTTTTTTCTTTCTTTTTTTTTATTTTTCTTTTTCTCCCATCTCACGCTTGGTCATCCATTACAACCCAACCTAAGCTCGTTTCCCGTTCTTAAAACTCCAACGAAGCAAGAATAAAAAATAGAAAAAAAATTTAATCACCGTTTCAAATTCAAAACATTTTTTTTCTTAATGAACTTTAAAAGTGTAGTATTAGTAACACGACCGAAAACTGCAAAGTAAGCCGATTTTCGACTTTTCCCTTTGCGCGCGAAGCTTTATAAGCGAAGGGAAGGGCGATAAGTGAAATAAATTTAAAAGTTTTCCGAGGGCGCTACTATACAGGGGCGACTTGAGAGCCGCGATAACGGATTTAATGAACCCTATCGTCTTCGTCGTGTGAATGGGACCTATACCTTGGACACAAAGCCCTTACATAATTTATGGTCGACCCATGTGATTGTTGCATGCCACCAAAACCCAAACACTCCCTAAAGTGGAAATTACAACTAAAATTAATGAAAAGTTAAAAAAAGAATCTTTTATTTTAATTTAATCTTGTGAAAGCGAATCTGATTCTAAAAATACCACTTTATTCCATCAATCTATTGTGATAGGTGATTAATTAGTTGTTTTTTTTTTTCTAAACTTAAATGTCGCTTAACATATGACACATGCAGAAAATACTTACATTAGAGAAAACGAAAACGATGATGATAATTTGAAATTTGCTTTTAATCGTTATTGTCGTTGAAAGCGTAACTTTTATAAACTCGCGGAAATAGAAAGCTGGAAATTACACGTTATAGATATATAGATGGGCATTATCTGTTGGCACCAATTTTTCTCTTTGTATCCATTCTGTGTTAATGACACTGCCGAAAATTGGTTTATAGGCAATAGATCCGGTGATTATTTCGGCATAATGTGGACTATTTAAAATGAGCAACACGCGGGCGTAAATTATCGCCTCGGATAAGCCGCAATTAAGATATTATTTAGTGGAGAATGCGGCGCTAATAAACATATGGTGTTGTTTATTTCCAACCGGACGGTGACTCGCGTAATGGATCGTAAATAATCTCGAAGCGGTTTTCACTGTCCAACAACCATTTGACTCATCATCAATGAAAATAATTGTCATGTTAAAATATATAAGACAAAAAAAGTAAACTAGAAAAATATAGAAAATCAAACCTTGTTTTGTTCAAAACTGGCACGTTAAATTAAGGTAATAAAAGGTATCATGTTAGATAATTAGAGGTTATATTGAAAACGAAGGAAATTATATCCCAAACAATAATTGAGATATCATGATAATTGGACAGCGTTATACATCACTTGACTAAGCGACATTTTATCGTTTTTAGAGATTTTCATGCTGTCTGGTAGGTAAAGGTATCACAGAAAGAATTCCGAAAGCCCTAAAATACTATTTGTTTTAAAGAATAAAGCTAAGCGCCAATCACGTTATACGATTTTTAGTCTGATTTGCATCCTACGTATAAGAACCGACTTAGATACGATTTTTATTGCACTAAAACTAGAACTAACACTAGAACTAGATCAATGTCAACTTTAATTTTATTATTATATTCGCAATCTTCATAAAATAACCTTTAAAACGAGTCCAAACTTGACGCATGTATCTCAAAAAACCAAAAAGTTCGAACTTTCAACTTTTAATTTTGACATATTTGTCAACTTCATAAAAAATCCTTTAAAATGAGTCCAAACTCGACATATTTAACTTTAATATTAATGGAAATACAATCACTTCCGGTTTGAAACGTCAACGTCAATTTTGACATATTTGTCATCTTCATTAAAAAACCTTTAAAATGAGTCCAAAGATGACGCACTTATCTCAAAAAACAAAAAAGTTAGAATAAAAAACATTAAACCCGAAGTTAGCAACAATGAAGATAGCAATTTAATTTTTAAATATTAATACCAACCTTGATTTTTAATTTTTAAATATTAATACCAACCTTGATTTTTGATTTTTTTTATTATAATTCCGTTTTTGTGACAAATTTTAACACATTTTATAAAAATTAAGAATATGTTAAAATGGTATTGACATTTCAAACCGGAAGTTGACCATAACTTTATTAATATTGAAAATAAATATGTCGTGTTTGTACTCATTTTAAAGGATTTTTCACGACGATTACAAATATGTCAAAACTGACGTTGACATTCTTAACCGGAAGTTGACCATAACTTTATTAATATTGAAGGTAAATATGTCGTGTTTGTACTCATTTTAAAGGATTTTTAATGAAGATTACAAATATGTCAAAATTGAGGTTGACGTTTTAAACCTGAAGTTAGTTATCATATAATAGAAGTTTTATAACTGAAATTAATCTAGTATTAGTCACTTTTCCGCACTTTCTTTTTATTTTGAACGTGTTTTTGGGTCATTTCATATTGATTAAAAGTTTCTTAATATTTCTTTTTTTAAAAAAGGGCGTTCTTAATTTCATTTTACAACTTTTCAAACTTTAATTTTGTGAATTAGTAACTTATAATCTGATTTCGACTTTGATATGTGATCTTTTTTAACAAAACAGAAAGAAATATTAAGAAATTTGTTTGTAAAATGGATAAGATGAGAGATGTTAATCTATTCGTAGAGTCTCTGAAGATGACCAAGGGTCGAAACTGGTTAGACTTAAATTCTATGTAAAATAAAAACCAGTTTAAAAGTACAAAATCAAACTCTGGATTATTTTCTTCAAAAATTTTTACACGAATCGTCATCATTTTGTTTCTAGTTTTAGTGATTAAATTTATGTCACGACTTACAGAAACACCTGTATGCCCTCTGCGCTTGTGATAGCTCCCATCAGTGTTCTGTGATAAAAATGGACAGGCACCAAACAATTTTCAATAGTTTGAGCCTGTCTATTCTGAGAAGTCTTTTATTTTTAGAGAGATGAAAACGAAAATGCCGTTTTTCTCAACATTATTCATTTGTCGTTTAGTCAAGTGATGCATAACGCGGTCCAATTACTCCAGTTTTAACGTGCCATAAATTTCCATAAACCAAGCTGTTATGATTTTTTATTATGAACATTTTAAATATCGTATTTCAAATCCTAATTGGGATATCTTGATAAGATAAGTGTTTTAAAAGAAGTTTAATCTAGTTATAGTGTGCCATAAATATTTTCTTAGTTTCCATAACCCTAATTGTTGCGTTTTTGTAATCACACGAAAGATATCACGATAATAAAAAAAATACGACAAATAATACTCGAGTGGTACAAAAACATTTTTATTCTTAATCTTAGAAAAGAAAAGTGTTAGTCGTTTATGTAAGAGCACTCAGTTTAGAATTAGTAACTTTTAATATGTGACATGTGTGACATTTTCTGTTTATGGAGATGGTGCAATAATACCTTGAAATGATTTAATGACACTTAATTAAAAACAAAGTTATGGTGATTACATTAAAAAATGTATTTAACAAATTTATTCTGTTAACTTGAGCTTCTTTCGTGGCATTACTTGGCATGGAATCTTTTAATGAAAATAAATTATTTTAAACTTTGGCCAGACTTGATCTCGAACTCAAATCCGAACCCAATCCAATCCGAAACCAGACTTCAACCCAAACCCAATCCGAATCAGAACCCAACCAGAATCCAACTCGAACCTCAATTCAGCCCAATAAGTTGAATTCATCAAATCAAATCTTTTTTATTTTTACATAAATAAATTCTTAATTTTTATAAACCTATATGTTACAATTGTTTTAATCACACTCTATATGTTTGTTACTTATGAAGGCTACATCAAATATAAAGAAAATTAAAAATGCTGTATCTTAACGACTCTGTCACCTTTTTTTGGTTTGTTGAAAAAAAAAATTTATTAATAGAAATTGAGATTTATATAATAAATGAAAGTTAAAAATCAATCTTTCTTTCAAACTATCAATTAAATACGCTGTTGATACGTTATAATTGTCATGGTTAAATAAAAAATAACTGTGAAATTTAGTACGGTTTCTCTAAAAGACCTCAACCCACGGGAAATCCGTTATAGGTATATCGAGATCACGACGAGAAGTAACGTAGATTTTACTTTCTACTGGGAGCACCATTTAAAATCCGCTTAAGATTTATGTTCGCGCCGGTAGAGGTGCGTTTACTATAATATTTTCATAGCTAGCGCGAACGTGTTCTTTATCTTTCAGGTCACTTTCACCTCGTTGTCTTCATTGTTCAAAAACCAAAAACTAATTTCCTACTTCGTTCATGTGTTAATTAGAAAAGAAAACAAATTAAACGGTTAAATTAAATCTTTTCAATCTGCTTTCATTATTATAAAAGACACAATCGTTAAATCAATTATATTAAAATTTAATTTTTTTTCTATTTCTTACAATTAGTCCTTTTTTTCCTTTTCATCTTTGGCCTTTTGTTTTTGTCTCATTTTTTCGGCATCTCTAAATTTTCTTTGTTCCAATGTGAGACCATCGCTTGTGGAAGATTTCTTTTTGGAATTTTCTTGTTGTTTCTTTTGGTTTTTTTGTCGAGCTAAATCTCGTTGGTTACCACGAGTCATTATTTTATGTTGATTATTTTGCACATTTATTTTTAGATTAGAATTCCTTTGAATTGGATTAAAAATTTTCTGTCATCATAAAAAGTTGTCAACGAAAATATTTAACTAGTAACTGAATTGTGACAGGGTCATATAACAACATAATAAATAACTACACGACGTTATTAAAAAAAGAACAAGTTTATTATTAAAATTATAAAATAAAATTAGTTAACACAGCAATAACAAGTAAGTAATCAACAAGAATTAAAAAAAATTAAAAAATAGATTAGTTCCAACCATGTCCTCCTCCGCCATGCGATGATTCTTCTTTGTAGATGTGTTTATAAACTGGAACATGTACTGGATAAGGTTTGGCAACATGAACAGGATAATGTTTTTCAATTTCAATCTTGTATGGCTTCTCAATGTAGTGTGGAACAGGTTTTTCTACGGTAATTGGCACCTTCTTTTCAATTTCTTGAGGGACCAACTTGTAAATTGGAACTGGAATTGGATGGGGAACGTTAATGTGGACAGGATAAGGTTGTGGAACTGGTACTTTGATAACTTGAGGTACTGGAACACCAACTGGGTGAGGAACTGGGACTCCAATTTTTTTGATAACCGTCACTGGAATTGGTTTAGTTACTTCGATGGTTTTTGTTGGGATATTGATGTGTTCATCTCCACCTTGGATTCCATGAAATCCTCCAGAATATGAAGAACCTCCAGAAAATCCATGATCACCTCCACCAAATCCACCTCCAAAGCCTCCTCCAAACCCATGACCACCTTGATCACCTCCTCCTAATCCATGAAAATCGCCTCCTCCTCCTCCTCCTCCTAATCCGTGAAAATCACCTCCTCCACTTGAAGAACCTCCATACCCTCCTTGGGAACTATGTCCAATATCACCACCTCCACCACTAGATCCACCAGATGATCCACTGGGACCGTAACCTCCATAGCTTCCATGACTCTGACTTTGATCACCTCCCCCATAACCTCCTCCACTGGCTGAAAAACCAGCGTATGATGTGCAGATTAAAGCGAGAATGATCGCAGATCTCTGGAAAATAAAACAAAAAATGAAACGATTTTTAGAATGTATATTTTTTATCATAACTTACAAAAATCATGATGAAGTTAAAAAAATTTCTTCTTCCAAACTCTACAAAGAAAACCTTACTTAAATAGTAAGTCACAAGCGAAGAAGCTTGAGTACACTAAGAAATGTAAAAGCAACGTGAGTATATATACCCGTATTTTGATGATAGGTGGGGTCACAAGGCACGTCAGGTGAAAGGATTCTCTTCGCGGACGAGATGGTTCGAAAATTAAGGAAAGGAACTCATCTCGGAAATAACTTTGCGGTTAGGTTGGAAATAAGAGAGTTATTATTATTTCATGGCTCCCAGCTCCACGGTCAATGCTAACGGCCATATGGCTTGCGTAAGATTTTCAATGGCAATTTATTCATTTCCATTAAATAATACCAAAGGAAATAAATTCTTCGACAGATGTTTGAAGATTTCCATTAATTTCATTAAAATACCTTTTACAAAATAAATCGTACGTTGAAACATGTACAAACACGGTTAGTTTAGTAAAAGAATAACCAAGATTAATTGTTACAACACAATATCGTACCTATTTATATTCATTTCAAAAGATTTTGTATGAAACTAAAGCTTTTCTAATTTATTTCAAAAATTACCAATTTTAGCGTTAATTAAAAAGCTGCTTTATAACACATGAAAGACAAACAAGGCAAGTTTTTATCAAGTGAAAATCTCTCTGAGGAATTTTAATCATTCTAAAACGTTTTTCCCAGCGCGTTTAACATCTGACAAGAGCACCATTGCGGTTGGGACACAACTACGTTCGAACGATAAGGGTCAGAAGAGGAGGTTCTCGCGTTGCGTGCCGACTACAATATACAATTTTTAATTAAGGTATCACGTTTAATTTAATTAACAGTTATGACCGGGGCCCGTCCGTTTAATCAACTCGACGATCTGACGTTGTTAGTTTTCTTTTTTTTTTTTCGTTTTTCTATTTCTCTTTTTTCACCTGAGATCATCATCCTCATCATATTTTTCGCTGTTATCAAAGTTCGATTACTAATTATATGGAAGATCTATAAATCATTAAAAATGGAATATATCAATTTTGGGTTTTACATAAAATTAGTACATAATTAAAAATTTACAAAAAAACACTGACAATGAGAGAATCTCGCAAAGTCAGAAATCAAACTCGAATCAGAACTCAACCCAACCTAACTCGAAACTAGACTATAACCCAATTCGAACCCAACCCAACCCGAAACCACACTTCAACCCGAACTCAAACCCAACCGGAATCAGAACCCAACTATTCCTTTTCAATCTCACTTCTTTGCATTTGAGAAACAGACAGCTGGGATCTGTCTCAGCATTGCGCATTTTTTTCTATTTCATCGACTTATGCTTCCTTTCCCTCTCTGCATGTTCCTTAACCATCATAATCGACCTTTATAATCAACCATGGTTATGAATAACTGATGATCAGCGACTGTTTTCATTCGCGTATCTCACGACTCTTACTCTTTCCTATGGTATTAAGCTGAGAATTTTCTTGTAGTACTGATTCCATAACGTGCCACACACTACGGTCCTTGTGGTACCTTGCAGCTCATTGCCTTCTCCTCTTTGTTTTGGAGGAGAATCGTCCTCTGCGATAAGTACCTCTCCAGGAAGCTTATATTGCTTCAATGATACATATCTTTCTGACTACACCCAGGAGGCAGAGAGAGCGATATGATTATACAAGGTTGCTCCTCACGCAATTATTAAAGACATGCAGGAAGGTCCACGGGTCTGCTTCAACGCAGACTCTAACTATTTTATTGGTGACGTTATTTTTCCCGGAAGTCCTTCTGGCTGTCAGCTGGGCAAGGGCGTCATCTTCTTCTTGGTGAAGGGATCGTCTTGCTCCTCTATGCGTAACGGTGGTTGACTTCTTCCGAGACTGTGGGGAAGAGCTTATAATACTGCCTTTGGATGGTGTCGAGTGTTCATTCTTTTATTGAGAACCAGATACGCTGTGCTCAAATTCCTGACAAACGTCCTTCCACATCTGTTCCATGAATTTCTTAATTCATAATAATAATGGAGTGGTTTCTGCTTTCTTTCATTTCTACTTTCTTCGCCCTCTGCAGTCATCTATACTTTCTTATGCATTCTTTCCTAGCCTCGGTAATTTCTTGGATCCACAAGTCAAGAGCCAACACTTCGGTTTTCTGGGACTGTCTTTGTTTGCTTTTCATTTAAGCATTACCTAGGGATGAACAATTTGATATATTTGATACACTTCCTAGGCCAGTGGCGGGTTTGCAATCTCTTCCGAAGCAAATGTTAGATCAATAACAGCAACCATCTACGAATTTGCGATTGACACAGGGTAGCAGAAAAAAAGTATGTTTCAATTGTAGGATGATGGGCAAATATGCTTGGATTGCAGGAATTCTTCAAAATGTTTTCTTCACAACATTTCAAAAAAGTTAACTCTTCAATTTTCACAAGTAATACAAACGCATTAACATCAAAGTAGAATGATTTCTAATTAAAGCTGAATTGCAGCTGACAAACAATGAAATTAAATGGAAAGTTATTCCTGCCGGCGTTGTTAACGTAATAGTTACAGAAGGTGGTGTGGACTTCAGAGGGACAAATTTAAATACGGATTATGTGAACCCATTTACGACGTGATGCGTGGACGCACCTTTAGTTTCTGCTAAGGCCTGTTTCATTTATTTGTATTAAATTAATGTTTAAATTGTTAATTTATTGTAAATTAAAAAATGATTTTTTAATCGAATCTGCAAACTGGGAATAAAGGTTGGCTATATGTCTTCGACCGATAAAGCAAGAAGAATCGACCAGCAGCGTCGTCGTCGCCGTCGTCGTGCTCCTTTTTCAGTCTTTTTCTTTTCGTTTTCTTTCTTTCGGCGCCGCTCCGATAACGCAAGGGAGGAATGTTCAATTTAATTCGGCGAGACGTATCTAAATTAATCTTTTCGTTTTAATATCGACGAAGAAGGGAATTTTAATTGGTTATTTGTGTGCTTAAGCGTACCGGTGTCGAAATCTTAAATTTACAATGTGTGCGTTTCTTAAGTTATCTTTAAAAATTATTAAATTAGGTGAATAAAGAAAAAAAGTAGATTATTCTAGAAAGTGAAAATTGAATTTAAGAAAATATTAAAATTAAATATAAATACATTCAGGTATTTTATGGCGTTTAAAACTTTCTTCCGTTACATTCTCACACGAGATCGAACACCGTTCTAATCATTTACGTTCTCATTTCCTGTTCTTTGCTTCGTTAAATCAACTGGAGACTTGCGCCGTTGTAATTATGCATACAGATGAGGTAGAAATTGAATCAATATCTGAGATAATTTCATAAATAATTCAAAACGGCTCCGTAAAGAGTGTTTTAACCCTTGACAACCAATTAACTCTTGATGTAATCGTGTAACTTTATATTACAAAATCTCTTATTTAATTAAAAAGAGTCTAAAAGAAGATTGAAAAATAAAAAAAAAACGTGATTAAGATTTTATGTCATATATTTATTTATTTTTTTTTTGATGAGATTTTTTGATATGTACATTTTTTTAACAAAAAATAACAAAATAATTATAACAATCAAGATGAAAAAAATGAAAGAATGAGGATGATAAGAAATGAATTTCTGCAATTACGTTAAGACAGTTTCTGGAACAATCGACGTAAGTTCATTTTCTGTATAAAATAAACTACTAAATTAGATCACAAGAAACTAACAAAAATGATTACGTCCATCATTCCAGTTTTAAACCAATTTAAAAATAAATTGAAAAGCCAACAATTAGATTAATGATGTTCACCATCACCACCATGATGTTGTTTGTCATTAACATAAACATGTTTGTAAACTGGATAATAAACAGGGTATGGTTTAGCTACATGTACAGGATAATGCATTTCAATTTCAACTTTATAAGGTTTTTCAATATAGTGTGGTTCAGGTTTTTCAACAGTCACTGGAATTTTCGTTTCGATTTCTTGGGGAACCAATTTGTAAATTGGGATGGCAACTGGGTGGGGAACATTAACATGAACTGGATAAGGTTGGGGAACTGGAACTTTAATAACTTGAGGCACTGGAATATGAACGGGATGTGGTTGAGGAACTCCTATCTTTTTAATTATTTCCACTGGAACAGGTTTTGTGTATTCGACAGTTTGTGTTGGAACATTAACATGTTCTTCTCCACCATCACGTGGTTGATATTGTTCTTGATTATCATCTCCTGAATCTCCTAATCCAGTGAAACCTCCTCCATAATTTCCATCATCTCCACCTAAGTCATGAATTCCACCTCCTAAATCATGATCTCCACCTCCTAAGTCATGAGATCCACCTCCTACGTCATGGGATCCCAAATCATGGGATCCACCTCCGTAGTCAGATCCACCTCCTAAATCATGGGAGCCACCTCCTAAGTCATGAGATCCACCTCCTAAATCGTGACCTCCACCTCCTAAGTTATGTGATCCATAATCTTGTCCTTGATCACCAATTCCACCACCACCTCCATACTCTCCACTATCATTTTGGTTGCCTTCATCGTGTTGAATAGAGTTTTCATCACCTCCACCATCGTTTCCATGGTCGTCACCTCCATATCCTGCCCCACTAGGTATGTAACCTGCTTGAGATTTCCAGGAAAAGGTCAGCAACAAACCAAGAAGAACAATCTGCAAAAGAAATTATTTTTTTTTTTAATTATGTTAAAACAGCGTTTTAAATGTTCTTACGAGATATTTCATGGTTTCTAACGTGATTAGGTGAAGGTAAGCAAAGAGCGAACTGACGCCAATTCGAACGGATGTAGTCACTTTTATAGCATGGGGTGGGGCTGATCTGTTTGCTCGCTGCTCCCGTTACCCCTTTCTCTATAAGCTTCCGCAAAAAATAATAGGATTAAAAAAAAAGTTTCTGGTTAATCAATCAGAACGAATTCATGATATCTATTTTCATGGTATTTCCTTACCCGTTCTGAACACGATGTAAAATGGTGATTATAAAACTTATTACATTCCAGCCCTAATTGATTCATTAAAAACTTTAATGTTTAAAGTGATTGTTATCGATCAATTTTAAAGTTACAAGTAATTTAAAGAAAATTTATCAAATATTTTGGAATTAATGATTTAGGTTGCAATTTTTTTATGCATATAGAAAGAATACCCTACTTTCATTGTTATTATAAAGAGAACATAATACTTCTCTTAAACAATTTTAGCTCCACATTCTGAAAAGAGAGAGAATGGTAAAAGGAACATACAATTGCGGATTACGTCTCTCCACTCATAAGATCTTTGTAAGAACTTTACTTCCGAGACGGGAACGTGCGGTCAGCGGACGCAGAGAAAGTAAAAGTCTTCTGGCTCTGGCTACGGTTTACAGTTCGACACACTTCGTTTACCGTCCAAGTTCAAGATTATAACTGCGCGTTGCTCGCCGAACATAATTATACACATACAATGGAAGTTTGAAGCATTACATTTTCTTTCTTTGCGGGGGAACGGAATTGTTTCGGTCGATGTACTTTTTGATTTTCGATAAGAACGTTTTAAAATTAGATGGAACCTGATTTGATAATTCTCTTTGTGAAAGATTAAAAAAATTACATTTGTTATTTTACGCTTTCAAAAGAATGAATTAAAAGAAAAAAAATTATAAAAGTGCTGAGTAATTATTTTTAAAACAATAAAATTTGTTTTCTTTCTCATTTAATTTTAGTAGACATAAATTATTTCAAAAAAGTTGTTATATAAAAGAAAGTTCGTTAAGCTTTTTTTGTTTCATTGGATTTTGAATACGATTTTATTTCCTTCCGGTATAAATTAAATTATTTAAAAATTGATTTTTTAGAAAAGTTTAATGTTTTCTAGAGAAACCTTATATTAGATTTCTTTTATACTAAAACTGGTAAATATATTGAAACCAATAGATTATTGATGATTTTTTAGAAAGCGAACACGACCATACAAGGATCATTTAATAATAGAAAAAATTCCTATTAAATCCAACAACACTGTTATTGAAATATAATAACTTTTGGTTCACTTAAATAAGGAAAAGAAGTTTTTTGGATTTCAAAAGACACCGTGCATAAATGTGATATTAAATTCCATTAAATCATGTCACTGATGTATATGACTTGACTTTACTTTGAATTAATGGTTCCTCTGATCTATGCAGTTTAGATGACGGACAAATTCAATTTAAAATTGTCCTGATTAAACCGGATATTACGTGGTGTCACTGCCATGAATCAATTGGGATGTGTTCATTATAAAAATTATAACAAAATATAAATATCAATTTTCAATCAAACCGAAACTCATATGTACTTTTATAATTTTGAAAAAGTGTTAGATATTAAATTTCAGAGGGGTTGCATAATTGTAATAAGTGAAATCAAAATTTTATTTAATATGTAGATGGCTTATCACACCAGTTGTAATAAAAGGTAGCTCAACGAGTTAAAATGGTCTTTTCTCACACTTGATTAATCATACTTAATGACCAACCCAACCCAAAAATAAAATAGTAAATCTGTATAAGTTTTTAAGCTAAATAGGTCAACCTGACATGACACTTAACACATGGAAGTGACAATTATTCCGTTTAATTCTATAAATATTTATTATAGAGACATAGCGTAAGATATTATAGTGATATGAGGGGATATAAAGTAAAGTAAAAGTGGTATAAAGTGATTCATGATAAAATGAAGTGTAAAAAGAGCTACATTAATAAGATAATGAAATTTGAGATGAGCCATGATAAGATATTTATGGTCTAACATATAGCAGTAAAAAAGATATGGTACTTTATAACCTCACACCTCTGCTTATAATAACACACGATGTATTTGATATGTAATATGTTTTGGCTAACTCAAAAATCCTTTCATTTCTACACCAGCAATATATCACATGCTTTTGAGAGTTCAACCATGTAAAAAGACTTCCACATATGATTATGTACCGTTCAACATGATATTCCTATACAAACATGTCAAAAACTTTGGTTAGGCCCTAATAGCCATACGTGTATTTAAATATGTTTGAATAATATAGTGTTAAATACATCTTCTAACCAAATTTATTAACTTTAACAATCTTAATCAATTGCGATTAAAAAATCGTAAACGTGTTAGATTAAATTTAACACCTTTTTAACTATCATTAATTTAATTTAAAAAAAAAACAATTTTCTTTCTTCGCGTTTATTTTACGATGTTTGTCTTCTTATTACCACTTTATGGCATGAAGGTGATTAAATCTATACAATAGACAATTTATATAGTGGTAAAGAAGAAAATAATTTCATTGACTCGGGTTCTTTAGTGTTTAATCTGTAGATTTATTAGTTGTAGTTTAGAACTAATGTAAGTTAAAAGAAAAAAAAATTAAATTAGATTCGCGTTGGCTTTCTATACCATCTGGAAACTTTCACTAAATCGATTTCATATTAAACTTGTAAAATTAACAAAAATCTAAAATTAACTTATTTTATTGATTTATTTATTTATTTGCGTTTCATCAAAAATAACATTTCAATGTAATTTTATATATAATTTTTTATAAAATTTGATTTTTGATAATTTTTGCTCAATAATAATTGTTTTCTGATTTTTGAAATTTGTCTTCTTTAAATTTCTATTTATGGTTCACTCAACCCGACTCTCTTTCACCTCATTTTTTTTTTTTTTCAAATGATAATACCCTTTCTACTCATACTTTCAAAACGATCCGCTTTCCAAGCAACTTCTTAAACCTTTTAAACTTGTTAAACCCAAAAAAAGGGGAAAAATGAAAAGAAAACGAAAAAATTTGAATGCCATCGATTTTTAATTAAAAAAACTCATTTATTTTTATCAAAACTTATCATTAATCAACAATAAAACAAAAAAAAAACAAAAACAACAATCATCAACAATCTTTTTTTCAAACTATGACTAGTTTAGGTTCCTAAAAAATTCCTTTACCATTTCGATGGTACTTTATGAATGTGTTTGTAAACAGGAACATGAACTGGATATGGTTTCGAAATATATACAGGATGGTGCTTTTCAATTTCAATTTTGACTTCTTTTTCAACTGGATACGGTACTGGTTTTTCAACGGTAATTGGTACTCTTTTCTCAATTTCTTGTGGAACCAACTTGTAAATGGTTACTGGGATTGGTTGCGGTACGTTTACATGAACTGGGTAGGGTTGTGGAACTGGGATTTTGATAACTTGTGGAACTTGAACGCCAACTGGATGTGGAACAGGAACCTCTATTTTCTTGATGACTGGAACGTGAATGTGATGAGGTTGTTCGACTGTTTTGACGGGGATGTGGATGTGTTCGTCCTGAAGGTGTTCACCACCTCCTAAACCATTCAATCCGTGATCACCCCCATGATCGTCGCCCCCGAAATCTTCCCCGGAAGAACTACCATGCCAACCATGGTCACCATCTTCACCAAGCTCGGCAAATGTTGGTCCAAAAACCACCAAAGCAAGGATTAAGAAGGATTTCTAAACAAAAATTAAAAAATTCTTAGCGAAAGTAGACTTTTTTTTGTTTTAACTTACGGCAATGTGCATGGTAAATGATTTTCTCAAGTGAACTGTTTGAGAACGAGAGAAGTGAGCTACTGATGCCTTCCAGACCGCGCCTAAAGTCTTTTATACCATGATAGAAGGGGAATGTTACGGTTTACTATTACTTGTCTTGTAGACGATTTGGATACGGAGCACAATTAGCGGCTTAAGTTAAGCGTGTTATTAAGAAGGAAAAAATTGGATTTGCTGGCGGACGGTCGGTGACCTTGAGAAGAAATTTCTAGTTGCAAAAAAAAAGGAATTGTCGAACGAATTTATAAACTAAATAAAAACATTTTTATACTCCGAAAAATGTTCTCATTTTTATGCACTGATTGATACTTGTTAGATTTTCGCTAAAATTTTATAGTGGATTATATTTTCTGACTTGGAAAATTGGCAAAATTATTTTTAAATGAGTAAAAGTGGTTATTAAATAAGCATTAAAGAGATATCGGTCTGATTTACGAGGATTGGTTTAATCAGGAAGTTGGAAATTGGTGAATGTAACAAACTAAGATTAATATTCATATTGAAAGAAAAAAATTTCTAGTTTTTAATAGTAGAATACAAGATCTGTTCTTAAAATTTAGAACAACCAAACATTTCAAGTTGGGTTTAAAGAATCATTACAACGATGATTATGGAAAGTAAAAAATAATTTATGGCACATTAAATCTTCGTCAAATATGCTTTAAAATGTTCATTATTTTATGATGATATCTCCACTCGTTCTTAAGATACGATTTTTTTAAATTTATACTTCAATCTATAACAATCAAGCATTCAGAGTTGGATTTAAAAAATCATAACAGCGATGGTTATGGAAAGTAAGAAAATATTTATGGAGCATTAAATCTTCATTAAATTTGCTTTAAACTGCATTTTATTTTACAATGATATCCCAATTGGTTTTTGAGATACGTAAAGATTAATTACCCTTGCATTTATATTTAAGGTTATGTAAGGTTGCAATCAAAACATCATAACTCTGGTATTTGAAGTTTCGAAGAAATAATCTTCAAAATGTGAAATACTAAATAAATGTACTTTAAATTGCTTTTTATTGTATGAAGATATCTCATTTAGTTTTTGAGATACGATTTTTTTTAGTATCTATTCTTAAAATTTAGGACAATCAAACATTCCAAGTTGGGTTTAAAGAATCATAACAACGATGTTTATGGAAAGTAAAAAATTATTTATGGCACATTAAATCTGCATCAAATTTGCTTTAAAATGTTCATTATTTTATAACGATATCTCCACTTGTTCTTGAAATACGATCTTTTTAATTTTATACTTCAATCTATAATAATCAAGCATTCAGAGTTGGACTTAAAAAATCATAACAGCGATGATTATGGAAATTAAGAAAATATTAATGGTGCGTTAAATCTTCATTAAATTTGCTTTAAACTGCTTTTTATTTCACAACGATATCTCAATTAGTGTTTGAGATACGTAAAGGTTAGTTACCTTAGCATCTATATTTAAGGTTATGCTAGGTTGCAATCAAAAAATCATAACTCCGAAATTTTTAATTTCGAGGATACAATCTTTAAAACATTAAATACGAAATAAATTTACTTTAAATTGCACTTTACTCCATAAAGATATCTCATTTAGTTTTTGAGATACGATTTTTTTAATATCTGTTATTAAAATTTGAAATAATCAAGCATGCCAAGTTGGGTTTAAAAAATCATAACAACGATGTTTATGGAATGTAAAAAATTATTTATAGCACATTAAATCTTCGTCAAATTTGCTTCAAAATGTTCATTATTTCATGATGATATCTCCAGTGGTTCTTGAGATAAGACATTTTTAAATTTATACTTCAATCTATAACAATCAAACATTCAGAGTTGGATTTAAAAAATGATAACAGCGATGGTTATGGAATATTTATGTACCAACCAAAAATTTCAATACCAATCTAACATTGAAATTCCATTCAACTTCATCTTCTTAGTTGTTATAATTTAATTCTGATTTAAAATTCAATCAACTCCAGCCAAATGTAAAATAAAAAACCTTCTCCATTAGAAGTAATTAAATTCTAAAATTCCGTTATTATCTAAATTACCATAGAAAATCGTTGGCGTTTCGTTGAATTGCAAGGCTCGTTACATTATTCGCCGTTTTTGAATCTATTAAAGAAACCTGAATAAAATATTTGTCCCCATTGAATAATCATGGTGGCGATTTGAGCATCGTTCGATTAACGAAACGAACGAAAATTAAAAAGAAAAGTATACCTGGAAGCCGTCCGAATCGCATTAAGGCCGTAAATTAGTCATAAGGTTTACATTCGCGCATTTCCCAGGCGCTCACGCTAGCACATATGCATAATGCATGGACGCTGTAATGTTTAATTTGTGCCCTTAATGTATGTTTATTGTTGTAAATTATTTTTGCTATTCGTTTATGCCGTTTAGTCACGAAATGGCCATTTTATGTTCGATCTTTAAAATTTTGTTTATTCAAATTTATTTTTTAAGAGGTATGGTTTAGTTTTTAAAGTAGATGATATTCTTTTATGAATTAAGAAAGTTAATTTATTGACGAATTTTTTTTCTTCTTTCAAAACGGAATTGTAAACAACTTTTTAAATTGACACGGAAACATTTTCACTCACATTCTTATTTTTAAGATAATTTTTTGCTTTTTTAAGTTCTTTTCGATATCGCTGACAACTGGTGCGCGACAAAAGCCGTCTCCTCCTATCACATTCCAAGGTGAATTTTTACATGAAAGCTAACGAAAGATTTTAATCGCGAAGCAGCTACTCCTTTCTCCCTATAAAAGCACCTCGAAGATCAGATGAATGCCAGTCTAAGTCGATCTTTCACTCTACTTACACACAATCACCATGCAGACATCAGTAAGTCATCAAATGAATATTATAATTTAATATGTTAAATATTATTATTGTTTTTTAGTTTGTTGCGGTTATCCTGTCGGTTTCCTGTGCTTTAGCACGTGCAGGATTCGCTGGAAGCTACGGTGACGATCACTCAACTTATTTCGGGGCAGAATACGGTGGAGAAGAACATGTTTACACCCCAACAAAAACTGTCGAATATACCAAACCAGTTCCAGTGCACGTTGTTAAGAAAATTGGAGTTCCCGTACCACACCCTGTAAATCTTCCAGTTCCTCAAGTTGTTAAGGTTCCAGTTCCACAACCTTATCCAGTTCACATTCATGTTCCCCAACCGGTTGCTATCCCAATTTACAAATTGGTGCCACAAGAAATTGAAAAGAAAATTCCAATCACTGTTGAAAAACCGGAACCACATTACATTGAGAAACCTTATAAAATTGAAATCGAAAAGCATTACCCAGTACATGTCAACAAACCATATCCAGTTCATGTTCCAGTTTATAAGCATGTCTACCAACATGAATCTCACCATCATAGTCACGATGATGGTCATCATTAAGAAATTAGACTGATTTTTTTAATAGCGTGCTACTTTTTGTCAGGATTTATTTATTTTCCTACTTAATTGTTGAAAGTTTTTGTTGTTGTTGAAATGTTCTTGTTTTTTGTTACATAATTAATTTTTGTTGTTATTTCTTATTGTTTTTGTTATAAAAAATGTTAATAAAAAATCCATAAAAATATCTATTTTGTTTTTAATAATAATTCTATAAATGCTTATTAATTGTCCTCAAACATGATCGATCTCTTAAAGTGTCAATACGATCTTTAATAATATTAGTAATCGGTATAATCTGATATGTTTTTAATGAACATTTTCCTTTTGGACAAATACACTTTAAAAATCATTTTTAATCGATTTTAATTTATTGTAATTTAATCATCGATTTGTACCCACGTAATAAGCATTTACGTTCCTGATACAAGAAAACCCAAAGAGATGAGGTAATATTGTCACCAATAGAAATGTAACAGATCCAATTAGAATTCTGGATGTCAGGGTGATGACATCAGCAAATGTTGCAACCTAATAATGGAAATAAAAGAAGCAAAATACAACATATAAGAAAGTTGCTAGTAGAAAAGACGAACAAGGTCAATGTTGAATCGCACATGGGTCCATCCACAGGGATCTTATAGTAACAGAGCTTTCCTTTATAGCCGGGGAACTCGTAGGAAAAAGTTACTTAGAACAGAGAATCCTCAGAGATGAAGATTCTAAGGTCATTAACAGAATACATCTTGTGGGACATAAAAAAAAATACGGATATCAGAGAGATATGCGATATCCAGGACATTGTGAGATGGGCTCACAAGAAAAGACGGGAACAGAGAGACAACGATAAACGCATAGAAGCCTTAAGACTGTCAAGGATAGTCAAAGATAAACTTCGAAGGGCAAACAGACTGATCTAAAAAGCACCTATATGACGGTATGAAAGCTGGAGTTCAACTTACCAGCATAGATTAAGAATAATTGAAAAATAAGACAGATGTCATAAAGTAAGAAGGGAATCACATATCAGCAGAGGATACTTGCAACTGTGAGAGTTTACAAAGTTAAGGCCGAGTTTTGCGACTGAGGCAATACAATTTCGAATATGATAAGTCTTGGGTACATCTCAGCCTTAACGCGTGTCTTCAATAAGTTAATAATTATCTATTACAGTCGAGGCACCGCAATTTTGAAATTAAAACCTTAATCTGCGTCACCTAAAGATCTAGACGTGGGAGCTCCTGCTTTTGTTATATATTGGAAGCTTAGGTTACTTGTAGCTGCGATGCATTCCAATCTTAAATCCAGATAAATTCCAGATCGATATGTTAATGCCATAGCTGTCCCAATACCTAACCGATAAAATCCTCCTCAGGGGCCATGGAACGTACAAAGAGCATGACATCATTTACTAAGTTAGCTAAACTAGGTTAGAACGAGAAATAGGTTCTACGCCCAGTCCAACCACTTCACTTTTATAAAACCTTTCAAACAAGCCGTTCTAAGTCATGCTTGCAGTTTGAGACTGAGGTTCAAATAGGAGTTAATAAAATCAATGGTTATGTAACCACAAAGCAAGTTGCAGATATTGACAAGAAAGCATGTCGCTTAGGTATAGCAGAAAGCTGCTTCAAATGCACAACTTTTACTATTTTGATCCACACATTTTCTTTGATCTGAATTTTATGAGCAATATGCTTACTGATATGGAATATCCATCACCTTTTAGAAACACTACACCACCTGCTTTCTCTTTTCCGGGAACATCTCTCTCAACTAATACAACAAATGTTCTATTTACTGCTAAAGTTGGTAGTTCTTCAAATTCGATTCTATTTAGAGTTTGAAAGAAGATATTTCTTTTGATCTCCTTTGCTAAAATGATTTTGTCATTAATTAAAAAGAAAAATTGAATAAGAAGTTGTGGAGGCAGTTAAAATTTGAAAAACAGCAGAATTTGTCAATTTTCCTACAATTTTTTAAAATCATAATGAAGGCTTTTTTTAACCTTTAATGTGTTAATTTTGATTTGTGTTCAAATGTAATCTTTTGATTGCTGTTATTTTGTCCTTGAAATTGAAGGTGAGATTATTCTATACAAGAGATAGTTACCAAACCGCAACTAATTTCGCTTACTAACCAATAACTAACTCGTTATATCGAGTATCTTATCTATTTTTCATAATTAATAGACGACAGTTTAACATCCTAAGGTTATAATTTATTTATTGTGGGACAGATAAAGAAATAGTTTTTGACGTGATTATCAAATTCGTTTTGTATAAGTGTCATATTAGTTTATATTAGTCACAACTTTCTTTGGACTTCGCCTTCTAATAAATAAATGACGTGAGTTTCAACACGATCTACTTCGGGGTGTGTTGCCATGACGTTTGCAAAATTGTGTTCTTGCGTAACGATTAAGTTCTTGTAATAAATTGTTTGGATTGCTTTTGTTAGTTATCTTGGCTTTTAGCTATTACTTGTCAAAAACTGCAAACCAGACAGGAAATTGTGAAATTTTCAAAGTCAAAACATTATTAACGATGTGCAATTTCAAAAATGTACTCTTATCTTTGTTGATGAAAGATTTTTGGTGCTAAATTGGAGAAATTGAATCTCAATACGATATTAACAATCTTTATTGTTATAACATACTTTATTTTTTTGCAAAAAAAGTTGATCTTTCCCTATTGGAATTTTAAGGTGTGATCAATTTCTAGAGAAATCTATTAGGGACGAACTGAGTACAAAAAGATGTAGAAAAAGAAAAATTCAATCCGAAGTTTGCTTTCATCATGTTAACTTTTACTTTCTATTAAATTAACGGGGTCCTTTCACTGCGGTTCTGATACAGATTTCGCACTTCCTGATTAGGGTTCTCGTTCACATACTTTAAATAAAACATGAATTGGATGAGATTTTTACTCATCCCATGAATGAATCTGATCGACTACTAGTAAAGGTCATCCTTGTAAGGATTCATTCAACACGTTAGAAGAATCGTTTTAAAATACCAGAAGATGACCGTCAACGTAAACTCAACCGCCAACGTAAACTTAATCGCCAACGTTTGGAAGCTTCTAGAGCAACACCTTTCACTCCTTCTCTTGTGTATAATTGGGATTGTTGTTACTTTCTTTGCCTCGACCGATTTCTAATTTAATGACTTAAAGTGGTTCGTGAGCGAAATCAAACAATGGTAAGAGTTCTTTTTCGTTATTTTCATTCATAACGTGATGGTATCTGAAAATAACTTTTTGTAAAACTAAACTAAACAAATAAGATTTGTCAAAAGAGATTCAACCACATGGAGAGTTTCTTCTTGCGAGCCACAGAGCAATTATCTCAGATGGGAGCCGATTGGATGGAACGACGAAGGCAAAGTCGAAGGCGAAGGAGAAGAAGAGAAGATCTTCTTGAGGCGGCCAAAAACGACGAGAAAAAAACGAAAAACTCTCGTTGGAAAAAAGGTCCATGAGCGAGGGAAAAATATCGAGAGAGAGGCCGTTCTGGGAACCATTCGTGGCGGTGGCAGGCGCGCCAACCCTCCGGCTATGACGGTTCTTCTTCGCCGCGGCCGTAAAGGAGTAGATGGCCATCTCGGACGCGCGGCCATGAAATCACGGGCCCCGCTCGATTTGTTCGCCGCCGCAAGACGAACGGGCAATAAAAGACGTTGGAATTAAACGGGTATGGTAATCGGAGATAGGTGCTTGTGGCTCTTGCATCGTTAGAGAGACGACCCTAAAGAGATCTTCTCTTCTCATTCTTGTATCGCGCCTTATTAGCCCCATCTTGTTGTCCTTGTTTCTTTAGATCACTTATCTCTTAAGAAGAAACTATAAGAAAAAATAAATTTTAAGTACTCATTGGAATGTTGTCAAACAATATATTAAAAATCCATAAAGTAGCTAGTTTTGTTAACATCGAATTTGAAGTTTCTAATAAGTATATCTATATTACTTGTATTATAGGTTTAACAATAAACTTCAAACTTGTTCAATCAATATTTCTTCTTATTTTTCAATGTACATTAACTTTTTATCGATTTTAATTATTAATATAGTTCGTATACAAGTAAGTATTCTGAGTAATATCATTCATTGTTAAAAATTTTAATGGAATTGCGTTCTATGAAGAGTTCATTTTGAAATCGAACGAGAAACGGATCAACGGATAATAAAAGGAAGGAATCGTATGAAAAGAAGGTGGAAATTAGCAAATATATTTAGTTAACCATGTCGATGGGGTTTTCGTTTTCGATGCGGAGAGTCCTATTGTCCCCATTGGATCCGGGCCGCCGGGAGCACAAACGAATTAATCTATTTTCTATTAAGCGACGACGTGACGAGAGAACCGAAACGGCTCGTCATCTGTCCATTTAGCGCAGTCACGCCGTTTCGAAAAGCAAGCAAACGCCCCGCGCCATCGTCCCGGTTCATTATGGACACTATATGAGACCCCATTCAAACCACGGCACGATATAGAAAACGGGAACGACGACGAGGTTCCCACAGTGACACAGGATTGATTCCATTCAAATCATTTTCTTCGATTTTTTATTCTTTTCAATCCGGATGACCGATGGGAATCGCTACTCAAATGTAATCAGTTCATAATTGACCCTCTTTATCCAATAAGAAATCTCACAACATTTCTTAATTCGTACAAATTGGATTGATTTTTTACAGAGAACTGATAACCTCGTAATTTTTCAAAGTCACTAGTCTTTTTGTGGTTACGGTTAATACCTCGTTGAAAATTAATGCTGCGGTTATCAACACGTATTATCTTTAAACGGAGTAACGTGAAGGAAACGATGATTTTCCGAGGTGGAATCGTGGAAAAATTATAATTGGCAATCATGCGATTCGTTGAGCGTTAATAAATAAAAACCTTAACGAGCGCCAACGTATACAATTTTTTATTAATTCCTTTCCCAACCACATAAAAATTAACATTTTAATAAGTGTTAAAAGACACATGCAAATTTTTTTAATTAAACTTATTTTATTAAAGTTTAACTCACAAAACTTTCAGATTGACTTTGAGCGTTTAAGATCAAGATCATGACCGAGAAAGAAATGAAGATGCTGTCGCTTTCATTAACTGCTCCCAATGACGTGTTATAGTACACATACAAGAAGTAACAGAAGAGAGGAAGCTGTTCGTTGGCCCGAATCTGGGTACTCTTTGATGAGACGCCGCGAGCATCTCCTCTCTTTCACCAGCAGAAGCAGTAAGCAAGCACGGTGAAGGTCGACGTTATACCTCTCTATTACGGCCTTCATGACGTTGAATGAAAAAGGTGATTCCTTCGTTAAGGAGGTCTCCCAGTAGTAGTGGCCACTTCGCACGTAAAATCTTGCCGGAGGCCACCACAGAAACTGATAAATCAAATGTAATTTATGGGTAATTAAAGTAGACGGGGGTTTCAATTTTATTTTTAGTAAGAAAATTTGTTTAAAAAAAATCCTTCGATGGAATCATTAAGAAAAGATTATTACAATAAAAACACAAAAATGTAAAGATTTGTTTTTTTCAGAAAATTTATTACCGAATAAATAATATATTATACATAATAAATTGGAATTAATTAACTTATCGCATTTTTACAAGAAATTAATCAACATGTGGATTAGATGTATGTTATCTAAGCTAGTGGCTTTTTTGTGCTTGATTTCTAAGTATCAACGCATTTTAACTTCAAAAATTAAAACATTAGTGACAGAGCAAGTTAGATAACCAGATTATTCATATTTTATGATTTAGTTTGATTTGAAAATAAATTTGAATCCTTAGCAAAACTATTTTGAAACAAATTTAGTTAATATTTGATGCCTTGAAAATCATTTCCTTATTATCACCTCAAAATTGGTGATTTTTTAAATTCATCACAAAGTATTCGTCTCCGGTCCAATTCTACTCTGCGACTTACACAAGTTATTCTTTGGAAAAATGTCTAATTTTGCATATTGGTGTAATGTAGAAAATACAAAGCTCAATGAAGTTCTCACATTAACTCTTGAAATTTTGAATAACACAGTTTGTTAAAGTTGATTAAATGTCATCCATACCATTTTATTCAAAACAACAAATTAAAAATTACATTTTATTTTATAACTCATCTTTACCTTCTTCACTTTCAAAATTGTTATTAACATCAACATCAAAATCTTCTTCGATAACCGATAATTCACCATCTTCGCCATTCCATCCGATAATTTCTTTAACTTTAGGGATTCCATTTTCCAAAGAAAAGGTACTAACCACCTTCCCAGCTGATAATTCTCTTAAGAATTCTTTAATACCATTCGTTGAAAATGATCCTTTCATTAAAATATATTTCATTTTACTTTTATTCAACGCGACGAGAGTGGGGTATCCAAAACCGCCAACTCCCAAAGTTTCTTCAAGTTCTAATTGGCTTCCGGCTTCCAACCAAATCCAACCCCAATTATTCCGTCGAAAAGTGTTACCCATTATTTTTAAAATTGCTATATAATCGTTTCTACAAGATGATTGACAATCTAAAATGTGAGGTAAAACGCTTATAACGCATAACATTTTCTCTGTGCATTCTTCAAGAATTGATTCCTGCGTTAATTCTTTGATTTCCGGTGGTGGTTGTTGATCTTGTAATAAGTTTAATGCAAATGTAACGATTTCGTCTACTTTTCGAGGTCCTTGATAAATTTCAGGAAATTTATTTGTTTTATTGCCAAGTGGAAATATTTTAATTGTAGGATAACCGCTTATGGAATATTCGTGAGATTTCATTGTGTTAATAGTGCAATCTAAAGCACCTAATTTAACTTTGCCTTTTAATAAGTTTGCTGCTTTTTCCCATTCTGGTTGTAAATTTTTACAATGACCACACCAAGGTGCGTAAAATTCCACTAACCATAAATCATTCGATTTTAGAACGTGCGAATCAAAATTATTATCAGTTAATTCGACAACATCGGATATTTTTTGTTTTCCTTCTATTCTTTCTATACGTTTTTCAACTTTTTTTGCAAGTACTCTTAAAGCTTCTTGGACGAATCCTTGAAGAGTTCTTGCTCCTGTGTAAGTAATTGGTTTCTTTTTCAATCCGAAAATAGTTATTGTTGGAAAATCACGGATATCATATTTTTGGCCAAAATCTGTATGTTTCTCCACATCTAAAGCACCTACTTTAATTATTCCACGGAGTGATTTCGCCACTTTTTTCCACGTCTCAACTAGATCTTTACAATGGTTACACCATGGAGCGTAAAATTCAATCAACCAAATTCCATTATCATCAAGAACTAATTTGTCGAAATTCGATGGCGATAAGATTATCACATCTTCAGGTAAATTATAAAGAGAATTGACTGAGGAAATAAAAAATAGAGGAAATATTATTGAATACATCGACTTTTTTGATGACTTGTTGATACTCAAAATAAATTGTCACTATGGTTTCTTATTAGAATGGATGATTTTTGATTTAAACCTAAACTAGTTATGTATTCGTTTCAAGAAATACAAACGCTTTCGCCCCCTCCTGAATATCATTTAACGAATTTATCTTATCCGCAATCTAATTTTAATTAATCGTAACCGTCCGTAGCCGCATAACTGACTCGGGTACAGATAGTTACAGATCTCGTCTCGCCGATAAAAGCTCGGTAGGGAATGCAAACCATCCGTGTTCATCACAAAATACCGCCCCAAACCGCGTCCCGCGCATTCCTCCCCCGGTTTGAATTTATAATTTCGGTCGAAAAGAACGGAACCTAAAAGCGATTAGGTCTGCGATAAATGCATTTTTAAACGGGTCGCGATAAGGTCGCATAAATAAAACGCAGGGCACGAATAGAGAGATATTTCGAATTTGTGGGGGCCCCTTTCGACTTCGGAATTCCAACGCGAGAAGAATGACGCGTGGCATTCAGGTAACTTGTCACGGAGATTCTTCTTCTCGAAAAACAAAGAAACAAGAGGAGAGAAAAAGGATTTTGAAATTCAAATCTTTTTTTAACTTTTTTTATTTTAATTTATTTGGAGCTTTTTTAGTATTAAAAGGATGTTCTATTCAATGTAGTATGTGCAAAATGAAGTAATACGGTAGCATTTATGCTACAAATGCCATCTTCGGACCGTTCGAATTGCCTGGTTATGAAAGCTTACTTACATAACATGTTAGACACTTTCTCTACATAGAGAATTACATCATATACCAAGTTCAAGGTGCCTATATTTTCACGACTATTTCACTTTTTTACCTCTTCATCTTTAAATGTGTTTTCTTCAAGATTGATAGTTCAGATAGAACAAAGCTGCTGGTTAGATACATGTTATAGACGTCAATCAGAGGTTATAAGAGATTAGGAGTGCTAAATCTCACAAATTTCATGTGTTTATGTGTGCAAACACATTTTCATATACTTGACGTTCTTCATAAACAACCGGTTGAACAATATTTGCAACCTTGTGAAATATAGAAAAGATGTAAAAGAAAGAAGAGGAGTTAACAAACAAGAGAAATAAAATAAGAGAATTCATTGGGAATCTAAAAGGGAATGAGTCACGTTTAAATTCTATTAGGATGCAATTGAACGGAAGGCATTTATGGAACTTTTAATTTTGGCAGTTGATTTGGAAATTAATTTTTCAAATCATCTTTCAAGAACTGCAGGCGTGCACTAAAGATACAGTTGCACTAAAGAAATGGAACTAATTTGTTTGGTTCATATGCAGAGAGACTGAGGTGAGTTATGTATTCCCCAACATGTTCCAAATTCTTACGAAAATCAAATACTAGAGTTCAGAATTGCTTCATTATACAATTATCCTACATTATTTCAAGTTTTATGTTGTCCATTTTTTATCAATCATTATGTCCTCTTGTTCTACTTATTCTTGCCCCCGTTCTACCCCACGGTGTTTGATCTGGAATCCATCTCCAGTAGGGGTTTTTTCTCACTGGATTCTTGGTCTATCCCGTTTTCTTCTTTCTTCTGGTATTATATTGAACATTTTCTGGTTGGTATACTTTCCACATCCATTCGAACAAGTTGGTCATTCCATATCAGCTGCTTCTCTTCTGTCTCCTCTACTAAAGCTGTCAAGCTTAGTTCTTGTTTCGTATTCTGTATATTAGTTTTTGGTTTTTCCTACTATACTATATATTTTTCGCAGATACTTCATTTCTAATGGTCTTATTTTTGATTTGTATCTGTCTAAAATTGTCCAAGTTTCAGACTCGTAGATAAGTGTGAGTGAATAGATGGATTTGTATAGATATAATTTTGTATTAGTGCTTTTGCTATTCTCTTATGTATTGCTTGATCTATTGTACCATCTTTATTAGTCATGGTTCCGAGATAGTCGTATTTTTCTACTAGCTATAGTCATTGTACATCTATTATTGCATCCACGCTTTCTGATCCATCTTCCTTGGTGATATGTACGATCTTGCTTGTGTTCCTCTTTGTTCTTCATTTGGATGTTCTTTGCCCTACCAAGACACTAACTAATTTGTCTTATTATTAATAACAATATTACAATTAGTATAATATCGTCCATATATGCTTGGCCTGACGTACAGATTGGAGTTAGGTTGTGGTATCCCAATTTCGTCGATCTTGTTCGATTTGTGACATCTTTTATTATTGATTTATTATTATTTTCTATTCCAAACTCATCTGATGTCTTTCCATTGAGTCCAACTGTTCCTATTAATTTTATGTATATAATTTTATTTACTCTGCCTAGATTTAAACTTGCAACCAGTTTATTTAAAGCATACCACATAGGTTGTCTGGGTATCTGGTCGAAAGCTGCTTTCAGATCCAGCAAAGCTATGTATAAATCCTTAATTCTGTTTTCTCTATTATGTCCGTAAGTGATCCTGAGTTTTTCTGTTAGCTCAGAAATCGCCATTTGCACTTCTTCAAGTCTATCTTAATTGTTTTTCTAAAATTTTTGATTAAAGTATTATTTCCGTATTTCTAATAGTTCTGGTGGTATGTAATCTTCGCCTGTTGCTTTTCCGTTTCGCGGTTTTTTTAGGGCATCTCGCGTCGTTCACGCTCATCTCCTCTTTTGCCATTTTCTCTTCTCCTTCTTGAGACTCTATTCGATTTTCAGCATCCAATTCTTCCTTCTCTCATTCTCTAAATCGTTCGTTCGTTACGCTCCATTTTGCTTCTATTCAGCTTCTTGACAACATTCCAGAACTATTTCTGGTTTTTTCTATAATTTTCGCTCTATTTCTTTCCGAATTCTTCCCTAACTTGAACTTGTTCAAGCTCAAGTTATTGAAATTATCTTTAATTCATCTTAAACACGCTTTTGTTGGGATATGTACACATTTTCCAGTAAATGTACTGACTATATTCGTTCTCATTATTATCTATGTATAAGTTGATTAATTAGAAAACAGTTTTAGAATTTGCTTAAACTGATTTCACTACATTTTCAAAATTGTTGAAACCAAAATTGTTCAACAAGCTTAGTTCCACTCTAAAACTCCTTTTGTTTTAGTAACGTCACAGTAAATTTGAAAATCCTCGTCCGGGGGCGGTTGCTTCCCTAAGAAAATTTCGCACAGGTGAAACCGGCGTTGTACCCACATAGAACCGGAAGTCTCCGTAATTTATCGCAGCGCGTACCGGCGAGTGTAACCGGATTATAGTAGGAAAACGGGATGTTTATCTTGTTTTTGGATCGTCGCGGCGCGATGTAACAACCCCTCGAGTCTCGCTCCCCGAAAAGTTTTTCTCGGATCCAGTTTTAATAAAACACCCCTCTCTCGCGAACCGTATTTTCATTTGCCATTTTTTTTTGTTTTTCTCTTTTTCGTTTTCCGGGCTTCGGCGTCGTTACAACTTCGGAATCGGTTTAATGAATACGTTAGAACGGGGATGATAAATTGTCCTTTTTTTTTTTGGTTGTCCCCTCGAAAAGGGAGGTTTAAAGTATCGATCAGAACAGCACATGCGTTCGGCGAAATAAAACGCAAACTCTCGAAATGCGCCATTACTTAAGCATTCAAAGCGACCCCGTTCTCCACCCTTTTCTGCCACGATAATGGCTTTCGTATGCATACGCGACCCACGGGTGGTCCCCGAAAAGCCAATTTAGATTGTAAGAGATCGTCTGTTTGTTTTCATATGAGGGGGTGTGCAAACCTAAACAGCACCACACACACAACCAACCCAAAGGGCATCAACAGAGAAAAGGGGATCGTTGTAATCTCGGATTTTGCATTTATGGGACCTCACCAAATTACACACGTAACATTCTTCACTTCATCAAAATAAAAATATGTTAAAAATGAAATTTTTTGACCTACAAATGTGGAAAATTTTGTTAAAAATTAGTTTGCGGAAATGAAACGGTGTTGCACATCCAACAACACGAATCCCGAAATGACGACATTTACACGGATGTTATACAGTCGCTTCCAAAATAATGTTACCAACAGCATGGTTTTTAGTGCTTAACGTAGACAGATTTGTGGGGTGCGCGTTGCATCGTGTTTGAAACATAAATGTCCTCGCAGTCGTTCGGACATTTCGGTCGTGGTAATCATCAGGAAGCGTTAACGGCGTCGACCGACATCTTTCGCGTAAGAGAGATTTATAATCAACCACAGATATTTGAAACTACCTAAAAACGATAGCTCAATATAGAGAACAACAACGTTTTCAGATTTCCCTTCTGAATCGTTTTCTTCTTTTTCGTCGTTTTGGATTCCGACAAGCGCGGGCGAGCTTCCGACGTGGTGAAACAAAAGCGGCGAACGACGACGACGTAGACACTTTTAATTCCGTACGCTGCCGCGATGATTCATTTTGACAGTCGAGAATCTGTCGGCCAACGACGACGTCTTTTTTCGCCTTGTTGTTTCCGCCGTTTCGCTCTCTGCCATGACGTTACGTTAAATTCTATCCTTTCTCTCTCGCATTTTCACTCTTTCCATCCCGAAAAATAAAGGGGCGGCAGACGAATCCGCGTTCGCCTCGCTTGGTTTCGCGATCAACACAAAACGAACGACGGATCCAACCCTTCTTTTGTTTTCCAACCCCCCTAAACGTATGGACGAACGGAATCCAAAAAACAAAAAAAGATACGAAATCATGAAGAGAATTTTTTTTTGGCTAAAAAAATTTACGTGGGGGGATTTTTTCAATGCCTGAAAAAGTTTAAAAAACAAAAATACAGCGAATTTCAGTTAAGATGTAATATACAAAAACATATTTCCATAGAAACCAAGGCGTACCTACTTACTTTGTCCCACATAAAATGTAACATGTCTAAATATTTCTAGTTCTAGGTATAATGTTAGTTCTAGTGGCAGTGGTAGGTAGTGCTAGTTAGCATTAGATATCACTGTGTTGCATATTTTTATTGAATTAAAACTAGAACTAACA